GAGGAGTGCACCGACATGGGTGGCGGGACGCATGTGGTCACAGCCACTGGGGCCCTCGGTGGAGCTCCCTATGGGGCCACAAATCGTGTGAAGGGTGTGCCGAAATGGGTGGCGGGGACGCATGTGGTCACAGCCACTGGGGCCTTCGGTGGAGCTCCCTGTAAGGCCACAAATCGTTTGAGGGGTGTGCCGAAATGGGTGGCGAGGACGCATGTAGTCACAGCCACTGGGGCCTCCGGTGGAGCTCCCTATGGGGCCACGAAGCGCTGTACTGGGTGCGCTGAAATGGTGGACATGCGGAGGGCAGAGGGGAGGAGGGGCGAAGAGGAAAAGGAACACGGGGCGCTGTCGCTTCAAAAAGATCCAACGCCACAGGATGGTTTTGGGGAAAAAACGCCCATCTGAAGCATTACCAAAAAGGGATCCTGGCCCCCCGTACCTCACAATTGGCGGACGACCTCGCCGGAAGGGCGAGCGAAGTGTTGCCCAGATCTGACAGGGCGTTCGTTTCGCAACCAGCAGAAAGAACTGCCCGACCCTGCGAACATACGGCACGACAAACTTGAAACGCAGTTCAAAATCGCGACCCGAGCCCTAGACCCTACCTGTCTGAGCCATCTGTCGAGCCGGATCGATCTGTGAGGCTCCCTGGACCCGAGCCCACACGAAAATGCCCTGCTCGAACACATCGAGACGCCATGATCTCAAGGGAGTCGTTATTGTCGTCGCCGGAGGCACCCTCGCGGGGCGCGGCGGATCGAGGGAGCAAGCGCCCCCCGCCCCCAGGCCTAGGGCGGTGTCCTTCACGGACAGGCCAAGGTCGCCACCCGCCTCGCCGCGGGGCGCGGGTGCGCTGGCGCGGGGCGTCGAGATCCACACGTGTCCAAGGCCACGGCCCGGCGTCGATCCGCGTGACGAGGGCGCCAAAGTGTGCGCGGGGGAGCATTGCGAGCTCCTCTGGTGGTGCCACGGGTGTGCCTCCCTATGGGCCACGAGCCGCCTAGGGGTTGCGCCCACATGGGCGCGGTGGGGCCAATGAGCCCCTCCGCCGGAGCCATAGGTGGAGCTCCCGATTGGCCACGAAACGAATCGCCTGAGGGCCTGAGGTGTGCGCAGAAATGGGCGCGGTGGCGCCTTGCGAGTTTCTCCGCCAGGCCATAGATGGTGCTCCCTGTAGCCCACGAATCGCGTGACAGATGTACCAACATGGACGCGTTGCCGCCATGCGAATTCCTCGATACGGGCCATGAGTGGAGCTCCCTATGGGCCACGATCTGCCTGAAGGCTGTGCCGACATGGGCGCGGTGTCGCCATGCAAGTTCCTCCGCCTGAGCCCATGGGTTGAGCTCCTGATGGGCGACGATCCGCTTGAGCTGGAATTTCAGGAATGTTGGCTGGGACGCTGGTGGTTGAGGTGGTTTGCAGAAACCGTTCGAAACATCTACAGATGATTCCGAAAGTACTAGCAACCATTTCGCAATCTAAAACGATGGTTAGCACGGCGGGGGTCCTACGTGTACCGTCTGCAGAACGCGCCAACCACCACGAAGATTATGGAATAATGGTTAAGCCTGATCGCATATCTTGTAACTGCCCGGGCAAACAACAATATCCACCACTGAACTAACCACCAACTCGTTCGTCCCAATTGACGGGTGCACCGGAATGAATGCAGTGGCGCCATGCGAGTTCATCTGGTGTGGCCATAGGAGGAGCTCCCTGTGAGCCACGAACCGCCTGAAGGGCGTGCCGACCTGGGCGCGGTGCCGCAGTGCGAGTTGCTACATTGGGGCCATGGATGGAGCTGCCTATGGGCCACGATCCGCCTAACAGGTGCACCGACATGGGCGCAGTGCCGCCATGCGGATTCCTCTACCCAGGCCATAAGTGGAACTGACTGTGGGCCACGAACCGCTTGACGGTTCAGCCGACATGGGCGCGGTGCCACAATGCGAGTTACTCCATTCGGGCCATGGGTGGAGCTCCCTATGAGCCTCGACCCGTCTGAAGGATGTGCCGAATGGACGCAGTGGAGCCATGCGAGTTCCTCTGCTGGGCTCATGGGTGGAGCTTCTTATGGGCTACGGGCCACGATCCGTTCGAGGGGCGCGGCAAATCTGACATGCGGAAGAAATGCAGAGGCAAGGAGGAAAATGGGGAGGAGGTGAGAAGGTGAAACGCGCGGCGCTGCGTATTCACAACGAGGTCCCAACAATGAAGAAATGATCGAAACAATGGAAACGCATCTGAAAGCAACCGAAACCGTTCGAAAGTACGTCCTCCTCCATCCTCCCCTCGAACACAATCTGCCCCTGGACCTCTCCAAGGGTTACGTTGAACGGGACTGCCGATCAGAATCCAACGGTGGCGACCCTCCCGATGGCCAGGTAAAAAAGCGGAAAGCAATCCACAAAACATCAATCCTCGACGTAAGACGGAGCCAGGACGAGGATAACATCGGGGGAGGATAAATCGAGAATCTCTGAGATCCGGCGGCTCTGGAGGATGTCCAGGCCGCCGCGGCCTTCTTGGAGGGTTCCAGAACGCTCTGAGAGCGTCCTGGAACGCTCTGGAACGGATTTATCCTCGTCCCAGCCCCGTCCGACGACGCCCTTGAATTGTGATCCTCCTCCTCCTCCTCCTCCTCCTCCTCCTCCTCCTCCTCCTCCTCCTCCTCCTCCCGCTAAGCCCTCCTCTCCCACACCTCGGCGGGCCTTCATCATCGTCTTCACCAAGCCCTGTCTGGAGATGCCATGTCCGGCCTCGGGCGCCACGAGAGAGGAAGGGGAGGAGGAGGAGGAGGAGGAGGAGGAGGAGGAGGAGGAGGAAGAGGAGGAGGAGGAGGAGGAGGAAAGGAGGATCCAGACATGCCCGCGTCGTGAACAGAAGCACGACGGAGGAAAATCTCCAGGGGCTAGCGCTGGGCCCCAGGACCGTCAACAAACGGCTCGGGATGACAAAACAGTTCTGGGGACATGGTGGGGACGTCTGGGAACCCCGCATTGAAAGCATCAAGACGTCGCATGTCTGGCGAGGAAGGAAAGGGCAAGCAGGGCGGGAGGAGGAGAGGGCATCGAACCTTGGAGGTTCTTGGCCCCTTTCGGCCCCTGAATAAGCTAGCATGAGAAACGGGTCCTGAGGGAAACGGGTCCTGGACCCTGGTGCCTCCTCCCAAGACGAGATCTTCTTCCTGAGCCGTTTTCTGACAATCCCGGGGGCCGTGGAGGGCCTGAGAGTCCCGTGGAGAACCCGTTTCCCCCATGACGAAAACTTGCCGACGCCCCTGGGAGCCTCCCGTGGAGCCTCTGGTGGCCGGGGACACAGGCAAGGAGGGGGTCGAGCAACAGGATCGATGGTCGAAGATCGAGCTGCGAGGGTCGAGGCTTCTGAGATGCATTTCTCCTTTTGGGCGCCTTCTGGAAGTTTCTCGTCGCCCAGCCTGGATTCTGATCGAGGTCCTAGTCGAAGAGCACCCCTGGTAAGGTCCGAGAGAATGGGGGGAGGAAGAGTCCACATGAGGGGCAAGTATCGGGTGGGACTGGCATAGGGGGGGGAACCATCGACCTGGAATTGGCGATACCTCACCGATAGATCGGCGCTAGGCTCATCACAGTGAATACGCACGCTCCCAGGCAGATTGGGGCCACTGGGCCCCCATCGGCGATGAATGGGCGCTCGGGGGTGGATGCATTCCCCCCCTATTCCTATCTCTCCCTTCTCGCTGCCTCCCCGACCATATGATATACCCCTGTCCTGCGCAACAATCCACATGCCTTCTGCTGCTCCCGACCTCGGCCGCCCCAAACAAGCCGCCCGCGGGCCCTGGGAAGGGCAGGGGCCGAGGGCTCGGGAGTGTGCCGTGATGTTTGGCGGCGAGCGAGGGGGGGAATCGGCTGCACGCAAGAGTGACCCTGGGTAAGAGTGACCTTTGGTGCGCGGTACTTGGGGGGCCGCCTGGGGGCCAAACACAAGAGCGCGATACGCCACTGCCGCCTCGCGTTCGGCGATCGGGGGGCCCCATTTGGCCCGCACCAAAGGTCACTCCGGCGAAAGGTCACTCTTACGTCTAGCCGAAGGAAGTGAGAAGGAGAAGGCCTTCTCAGTAGGCTCGAAAGTCCCCCGGCCTTCGGAGAAGTTTGTGAAGCCTCCCCCAGAGACACAAAACAACCTCGGAAGGCGCCAGGGCTTCTGAGAAGTCCCGCCGCCTTCTGAGAAGGTCTTCTCCTTCTCACTTCCCCCCCTCGCTCGCCGCTGAGATGCCTGCTGTTGTTGCTGTTCGGCCAGCGGCGAAGTCAGACAACGAAACGTTGCGACAGCAGCCGGGTCGCGGACGGACAACGTGCGCACCTGTACAGGTGGACAGAAGTGGAGAGAGCGGCCGCGGAACAAGGCAAGGGGGGGGGAGACGCGCACATACAATACCAAACGACAACGTGGAGGTCCGGGAGGAGAGAGCGAAGCGCGAGGGGGCGGGAACCCCAGTCTCCACCGGCTCTTTGGGCCTTGCCCCAGCCCTCCCCTCCCCCCTTCCTTCGCATCCCTCCCTGACGCTGCATGGGTCTTACCAGACAGCATCCAGGAACGGCGCAGACGAATCGGCCTGCACGCTGCGCCTGTGGATTATCCAGCGCCCCTGACGTGACCCCACACTGGCAGTTTCTGAGAATGCCCCAACCAGTGCCTGCACTGAGGGTTTCTCCCGTCTGTTCCGAGGGGCTGGGCCTGCCCGTCGGTCTGGCGGCTGTGGTCGCCGTCGCCGCCCCGTCGCCGCCTCGTCGCACCCCGTCTTCTGAGCCTGCCCGTCGGTCTGGCGGCTATGTGGTCGCCGTCGCCGCCCCGTCGCTTTGGGTCTGCCCGTCGGTCTGGCGGCTAACGTGGTCGACGTCGCCGCCCCGTCGCCGTCTTGGCCTGCGTTCCTCTGCGATGGCTTGAGTTACTTCGCATTGCATTCGAATGCTTTGATTTGTTTCTTCGCGTTGCTTTGCGCTGCTTCGCATTGAGTCCCCAAGCCGTGCTTGCACTGAGGGGTGGTCTAATGAACTGGGCGGCAGTGCTGGACTGGTGGCTATGTGGCCGCCGTCGCCGCTCCGTCGCTGGGCGGCGCTGCTGGTCTGGTGGGCATGAAGCCGCCGTCGCCGCCCTGTCGCCGCCCCGTCACCGCTTCGTCGTTGGTTGCACCAACAGATTCTCCTTTGCTCTAAGCAGAATCTCGGATCTACCCCCAATCCCCCCCTCCCCGGGTTGATCGGCTTCCCCTGGGATGATGCAATTTACATCTGGTTCTGCGCCATCGCTTTTTTTGAAATATGGATACATAACATCTCCAGCCGAACCCCTCTTATCGCCCGCCCCTCACCCCTGTCAAATTACATCATGCCGGCCACCCGCCCCCGTCGGCCGCTTGCGCATATCGAAACCCTTCCAAATCCTTCATCGCCGACACATGGACACCATCATCGTCATTGGCGTGATCAGCATCGGCACCGTCACTTGTCCTGCAGTCGTCATCGTCATCGTCGTCACCAACATCGCAGCCATAGTCATCGAGCCTGCCGATGTCGACGTCACCATGAAACGGCGTCCGCCAGGATCACCGACTCGCTCTGAAGTGCTTACGCGTCCCCGCGGCCTGCGGGACGCTCTGGGGAGTCCCCAGCGGTCAACGCCACCGCAGCCGCGTCGTTCGCGCCAGACTGGCTGGCCGCTCTGCGCACGACCTGCGCGCACTAGCGCGGTCGCAGCGATGCGCCAGCCGGCGCCAAGCAGCCAGCGCAAGTGCCGCCGCAGGAATTTTGCAAACCAAGTTGTGGGTAGGCGGGTGGGATGATTGCGCGAGCAACGGACTCGTGTGCATTTGTAAACTGCAGCAGGTACTTCTAAAACGCATTGTTTGGGGTCCACGCTGGCTAAGATGATGTCCTCCTTATAGGGGGGACAGAAGTCCCTGGAGAGCAAGCATAAAGATAGTGAGTGCTCCCCCATCTCCCCACACTTTTGCTCCCAAACAAGCGACGCCCTGCTTTGTTTACCGCGCCAATTCCCGACCCTTACCCTGGGCCAATTTCTCATCGTGAGTCTTTCTGTCGACGGTCCCGAGGCCCGGCAAGGGCCCCCGGAAGCTGAAAACGGCCAAAAGCACCCTCCGTCGTGATCATTGGTTGACGGCGCGCACGCACGAAATGGGTACGGAAAGAATGGGTACCATTCCCAACAGCACATCTTGTCCAAACCGACAACGGCCGCTGCGGGACAGGCGACCTTTGGTCGTAATCCGACACCGTCCGCAGCGACACCGACAGCGATTCCTGCTCAAGATAGAGAAGGACTGCTGTCGGTCGGCTCGGCGGCGAGCTGAGGGGGGGAGTGAGGAGGGGCGGGCCCTCTCAGAAGGCTCGGAAGTCCCCCTGCCTCTCTGAGAGGTTCTCTAAGCCCCCCCCCGCCCAAGACACGGAACACCCCTGAGGAGGCGCGAGGACTTCTGAGAATCCCCGCAGCCTTCTGAGAAGGCCTTCGGCTTCTCGCTTCGCCCCCTCTGAAAGGGGCCCTGGGACACACAAATAAATACACGCTAATAAAAAGACTCCCCATATTTTCCAATCTTTTCTGGGTTTTTGTCTTCCCGCCCAGTTCCCATTTTTTCCTGTATTTTCTGGGGGATCGACGATGCATTGTGTCGATGTGTTTTTTCCCCTCCTGACCCTTCGCTCGCCGCCGACACCTGGAGGGCAACTACGTAGCAGCACGCAGGCGAGCCACCGCAGCGCGCGGGGGGCGTGGGCGTCCGAGCGAATAATGGCCGGGCGAGCGGGGCGCCCGCCGAGCGCTGCCCACCAGTCTGCGTGGCGACATCGCCGCGCCCTGCCCCCGCCATGCCGCGGGCTCGCCCGAGTCGATGGAGGGGGCGGGGGATTGCAAAAAAACTAAGGATTGCAAAAAAACGAAGGATTGCAAAAAAAAGATTGCAAATAAACCAAGGATTGCAAAAAAAGGATTGCAACAAAAACGAAGGATTGCAAAAAAAAACCGAAGGATTGCAAAAAAAAACCCTCCTTTTTTGCAATCCTCCTTTTTTGCAATCCTTCGGCTCCGAGCTTTTTAGGCTTATGCCACTTTTTGTCTCCCTGCGTCAGGCCCTGCGAGCGCCGCCAGAAGTCTGGGCGGCGGCAGCCGAGCCCTGCCCCCGCCATGCCACGGGTTCTCATCGGTGGAGGGGGCGGGGGGCGGAGGGGGAGGAGGCGGAGGAGGAGGAGGAAGACGAGGAGGAACACGAGGCGGAGGAGGAGGAGGAGGAGGAGGAGGAGGAGGAGGAGGAGGAGGAAGAGGAGAAGAAACAGGAGGAGCAGGTGGAGGGAGGCTGTGCCGAGCGCAGGTCCGAAATGGGGCTCGGGCTCCGCCACACGCTCGACCACATTCCGCGCCCTCTCCCCGCCGAGGGCCGAGCCGCCTGGGCAGTTGATCGGCGAGAGGGGGCAGGGTGCGGATCTCCCCGCCGAGAGCCGCGGCTCCGCGAGCAGAAGAAAACAGAGGATGTGTCGACCCCTGTTCGGGAGCGGCCAAGAGGGGGGTGTCCAAGAGGGGCGGGTGCAAATCATGACCGGCGGCATGTGCGCGGCCCGGCGGGGGGGGCAGGGACGTAACGAAAGAAGAAGAGGCGCCATGAACTCTGGGGAGATATCATGGCCCCCGCCATGATATCCACCCCCCCTAGTCATCACCCCCCTCTTTTCCGCCCCCGATGTCGAATTGGACAAGCAATCTGGAGCCCAAACCGGGGGATATACGAAGGGGGGCGTGCATTCTCGATGTGGGATGCGTCCGAACGCAATCTCAGCCCGCATAAGTATGCAAGGGCCATGGAAGGCCAGGTTGACGCTTTGCTGCTGGGGCGCGGCCAGCGAACGCGGCCAAGGATGGGCCGCAGGGGAAGGATGCAAGGGGAAGTTTGGAAAGCTGCGCATCTTCCCTGTGCGGGTTGACTGTCTCCCCACAGGTGTGTATCCCCGAGTCTCCCTCCTTTCCTGAGCGGGTTCATTCCCTGACATCCGACGTCTCGAAAAAATGGAGACAGCGTGACACATCACGACTGGAGCACTGGACCCCAGCTTTCCGCGCCATTTCTCGAGACGGACCCATCTGTGAGGGCCCTGGGGCCCGAAACTGGGCGAAGACGTCCAGCACGAAGAAGTTGAGTCGCCATATTTTTCGTCGAGACAACGGGGGTGCGCGGGGGTGCGATCGACCTTTCGCCAGGGGGCGAAACATCGCCTGCGCGATCCCTCCGCGCGGCTCTCCGCTGCCCGCCTCGACGCCCCTCTCTCGCCGCCCGGCCGATGCAGCTGTGCGTGCCGGAGAGCTCCCGTCGCCCCGGCCGCATCGCCCTCGGGACCAGGACGAAGCCAGGACGAGGATGAAAAATCGGGTGACCCGTGGGGATCTCCCCGAGTATCCCTCCTTCCCTGAGCGGCTTCACCTTTCGTCGAGAGAACGGGGGCTGTTGGTGGAAAACTCGCCTGCGCGATCACTCCGCGCGGCGCGACGCAGGCTCAGACGAAGCCAGGACGAGGACAACATCGGGTGAAGATAAATCGGGAATCTCCGAAATCCGGCTGCTCTGGAGGATGTCTCGGGCGCCGCGGCCTTCTCAGAGCGCTCCAAAGCTCTCTGAGAGCGCTCCGGAACACTCTGGAACAGATTTATCCTCGTCCTACCCTTAGGTCGGGCATGTCCCCCTACAGGCGGCATTTGGACGAAAAATAGAAATAGTCAAAAAATGAGAAGCATGCTCAAAAATACTCAAACATCGTCCCCTGAATATTTTTGACAATCTTTGAATCTTCGTCCTGTAGAGGGACAGGCCCGACCTAATCCTGGCCCCGTCCGACCGATGCCGCTGCACGTGCCCGAGAGCTCCCGCCGCCGCGGCCGGATCCCCCTCGAGACCCTGGCGAGAGCTCACCGCGGGAGTGGCCCAGGAAGTGGCGACATCGGCGTCATTGCGCTCCCCCCCAACCCCTGTCTGCTATCGGGAAGCAGCGGTATCCGTAGCCGACGTTCCGGGAAGTAGCGGTATCGGTAGCCAACGGCAACGACGGAGGCGACGACGTCGGCGATGTCGAGGGAGGCGTCGAGGGCGACGCTGGCGGCAGCCCCCGAGGTGGGACCGCACGACTGCTCTCGCCGCCACGTTCCACGGCTCACGGCAGCCGAGTAGTGGGACACAAGCCACGAGCCAGCCGAACCTGTGAGAGCCTTCTAAGCGCAGCGCTGGAGGAGAAACCACACGGCCCTGGCAACGCTGTCTTTGCTTCTTGCAGCAGGGTGGTTCGGTTGCAGATTGAAACAAGCTATTCCTCATCATCTTCCGCTTGCCCCTCCTCGTCCTCGACAGAGGGGATGGAGGTCGGCCCTGACGTCACTGCTTGTCCTGGTGGGTGTCGGCCTCTTGCGAGCAAACTGCCATGTGAACGGATGTTTTGGAAGCCTGGCGATCCATGTCATCCTCCTCTTCGACTCCGTTCCACGACGAGGATGGGAAGGACGGAAGAACAAAAATAACAATACTAATGACAACAATAAGAAGAAAGAAAAACGCCATTTTAATCAACTGTCGAGGGTCCACGCGGACTTCTTGAATATGCGCTGGACCCAGCTCCCTGGCACGCGGAGCGCGCCAGGGGGCGGTGCTGGAGGCGCCCTCAAGGGAGCCCAGCGCAGATCCAAGAAATTCATGCAGACCTCAGACAACTTGTGTGTCTGCATGTTTTTCTAATTCGATTCCCTCCTTCCCGGCTGAGGAGGAGGATGACGAGGCCGCAGACGAGACCGACGACGAACACGACGAGCCGGTATAAAAAAGCCCCCGGCCAGCTCCGAGACAGTGATCCTCCCGGCAGTCCCCCAATCGTCGGCGGGCTCCACCTCGGGAGTGGGGACGGAGCACGGGAGAGAGCGAGTCGAGCAGCAGTACCCGTCGGTCAGAAGAAGTGGATAGAAACATGAAGTATGAATTCGTTGAAAGTAGATTGGGCTTCCGCCCGCCCCCTGAGGACGAGGGAAGAGGGAAAACCATCCCACTAATAAAAAAGGAAGGCGCCTAAATGAGATTGGGACTTGGGCGTCCAAAAATACTTATTCCAACGACCGGCGCGTGTGGGACGCGAAAAAAAAAATTGCCTTACGCGAGAAGGAAGAGCGATCTTACGCCACGGTCTACGCGGGCCGCTAGCGTGGCACACCGCGTGGACAAGAGGGCACTTGCGCGCAACCTTCCTGCGTGCAGCATGCGCGCGAACGTCCGCAAATTCGGCCCCGTCTTCTTCCGTTGCTCAGGTGTTGGTGTAGTTTTCTTTGTGCTCCATGCCTCCGCCCCCAGCTCCGCAGGAGGGTAACAAGAAAACTGCATGAGCATATAAACGTTCGGAGGTCAAGGCGGACCTGTCGCTGTGGCGCTGGAACCCGGGCCTCTTCGGGGCTTCCCAGGGGTTTCTTGGGTGGCTTTTGGGAGCCTCTTGGGGGCATTTTGGGGCCTCTCGGGGCCTCTTGGGGTTGGGGTCCTCTTGGGGCCAAGGCTCAAAAGCTTGAACCTGGTTTCCCCCCTCTGGGATCCCTCTTGGGCTTGTCCTGGGGCTCTCCCTTGGGCCATCTCGGGGGCCTTCTTGGGCCGTCTCGAGCCCTGCTGGGGCTGTCCTCGAGCTCTCTCTCTCTCGGGGGCCTCCTGGGCCGTCATGGGGGCCTCTTCGGCCGTCTGGGAGCCCCTCCCCAACGCCCCTTTCGGAAGGAGGCACCCGCGGACCTGCGTTCCGGGAAGGCCCCGGGGACGCGGTCGCCAGGTTGTGGGAGGCCGGCGCCTCGGCCGCCGGCTGGGGAAAGGGCAGGAGGAAAACGGAGAAGGAGTAGGAGGAGGAGGCAGGAGGAGGAGGAGGCAGGAGGAGGCAGGAGGGAGGTGGAGGAGGAGGGGGAGGGGGAGGAGGAGGAGAAGGAGGAGGAGGAAGAGGAGGAGGAGGAGGAGGAGGAGGAGGAGGAGGAAGAGGAGGAGGAGGAGGAGGAGGAGCAGGAGGAGGAGGAGGAGGAAAAGGAGGAGGAGGAGGAGGAGGAGGAGGAGCAGGAGCAGGAGGAGGAGGAAGAGGAGGAGGAGGAGGAGCAGGAGCAGGAGGAGTTACGGAGTTACGGATATTGCGACCGTGTCGGTTACTGACTGACTGAGATTACAACCCCAACTTGGCCCTGGCCCTCCGCGCCTTGTCGGAGGAGCTGTAGGCCTTGGGCCACTTGCCTGCAGAGATGTTCCTTAAGTAATCAGCTCGATTACCCGTGGCAGGTCCGAGGCACTCACCTCCGAGCTTCGCAATCTGCTGAGCTGCGAAACTGCCACACCTGACACATAACCAAATTCCCAGCCCAGAGTGAAACTTCATTTGATGACTACTACGAGCCCATCCCCCACATATATGCACCCGACGCCCATGGGGGAGATCACATACAACGCCATCGACCGTCCGCAGAGTAAAACACGGCGAATCCAGCCAGGTTCGACGAGCAGCCTGGGAAGAGGAGCCTTTACACTGCAAACATGCATTACCTTTTCCGAAAGCACGTGCTGCGTGGAAAACGAAGAACAAACCCTCGGAGCAGGGGGCCTGGGTCCAGGGTGCCTAACGCGGGCCCGCTGAGGCTCCTTAAGGGAAAGGTTCTGCTCAGCCTCAAGAGTCTGAAGAGTGCTGATCAGGATCTGCATGCGGACTCAATACGCTTGATACTCTACCTGAGCCACTCGGGCCCTCTCGTGCTCGGAGACTCTACAAACCTTGGCCCCCTCACCAGCGAATTCATCGGCAATGGTATTACCGACTACGTACAATGGTGGGGAACGGC